CTCGGCGGATGTAATCTCAGGCAATCTCAAGCGCTTTGCGCGGACACACTGTCAAAACAAGCCCGGCCCACTCCGCCGGCAGGCGACACCACAACCACCACTCACCGTAGACGACCATCTTCTTGGTCATGAAGTCCTCGTCGTCGAAGGTGGACACGAGGCACTTCCACTCGCCCGAGAGGTCCGTGGTGGGGTTGCGGATGTAGAGCGCGCGGTGGCGCGACGCGTTGGACTTGGTGGCCTGGTAGCCCAGGTCCAGGCGGCCGCGCAGCAGCCCCAGCTCCTGCGGCCGCTGCGGCGGGATCCACTGGTACACGGGCGCCGGCCCGTCGTTGAAGAACCACTTGACGACCAGCCCCGAGGCGTTGATGCTCTCGCGCGGGCCCAGCGCGTACTCGCAGTCCAGGATGGCGGCGTGCGACCCGTTGGACACGTACTGCGGCACGTGCAGGTGCGTGATCTGCACGGGGTAGGCGCCTGCAACAGGAGAGCACGTGGGGTCAGCGGGTCACACACGGTTTCACAAGGTCAGCTGGAGCACTGAACTGGAGTTGGAGAGAAAGTCAAGCGCAAAGTGAGAAAAAGGTCACCCTCCCGTCCGACCTTAAACCAGAGCGGCTGTAAAATGACAGACAGAAATACACAACGAGTCGGTGGCGGGCGGGCGGTCCCGCTGGTGTCGCGGGGACGGGCCGAGGAGGGCACCGCCGAGATGGATGGTGTGTGAGCGAGGCGCGGGGCGGCGCGGCCCGGCCGGGCGGCAGATTGTCAAAACTTTTCGCATATTCCCGACGTATATAGACTCGCGCCGTACAAAGGCAGGTGTCGTGCTGGTGGCGGTCTGGCCTATCTCTCCTCCTCCTCCTCCTGCTCCGCACGTCTGCTGTCGCGGCCCCGTCCCGCCCCGCCCCACCCCGCCCAGGCCTGCCCGGCGGGGCGCGCCGTGGCCCCGTTCCGTGACAAAAGGGACAATGCTGATGGATCATGGCGTTATCAATCACCTGGTGACGCGGCGCTGCGCTCTCCTTATCGACGTGCGGCGGATGGCGCCACAGGGCGTGGCGTGGCGTGGCGTGGCGTGGCGTGGCGTGGCGCGCGCCAAGTGCAAACCCACAGCAGCTGCTCGGCGGCGAGGCAGGCTGACGAGCTGGCCGGCGAGCATGTGACAGGGGTGAGCAGCAGCAGCGGCCCGCGTCCGCGATCGCGGGACTGAAGTGCGACGGGATTGTGGCCGAGACAGTGGCGGTCGCCGTCCCCACCGTCTCACTCGCACCTGTCCTCCTGCTGCTCCCCTGTCGGTTCGGTGAGGCTCACCCGGGCTGCGGACCCCGCCAGCCCGCCGGCCCTTCCCCTGCCCGGCTATGGGCGATCGGCTCGGCGCAAGACGCATTTGCATCGACACTTCACAGCTTCACACCGCACCATTTCCAATTCAGTCCGGAAAGGGACGGCCGGCCTGGCCGAAAGGGTCGCGTCCACCGCCGCATGCAAATCGAGCGGCGCAACGTGTGTGCGTGTGTGTATGCGAGGGTGTGCGTAGGTGTGAGTGTGGTTGTGCGCGCGTGTGTGGTTGTGCGCGCGCGTTGTGCGCGTGGGGGGAGCGTCATGGCCCGCAGAGAGAGGGTTGAAGTGCCCGGGCAGCAGCCGCAGCAGAGCAGGCCCCGCGGGTGCAATCCGCTCTCGGCAAAGTGATTCGTAGAGACCAATCATCGTAAAAAGCGAGTAGGTATACGGCCGGGGCCGGCCTGGGCTGGTCGAGTGCGGCCCCCGCGTTGGAAGCCCCCCCTGTCGCTGTTAACCACCGGCGTGCTGTTGCTATCCCCCCTCCCCCCCCCCTCGCGGCAGCGGCCGATTTGCATGGGGCTCTTTGAGCGGGCAGCCCCGACAAGCACGCGCGGAGTGACGGGTGCAAATGGATTTTCTGGCAATCGCTAATCCGATATATGCAGATCATGGAGTATACAACTTCACCAGGACCTGCGGTTCTTTCGACAGCTGCGTGTTGTTGCCGAAGAAGAGTGCGAGGGCAGGCGACATCCTCGCCTGGCCCCTCTCTGCGCGAGGACAGCGTGAGCGACATCCTCGCCTGGCTCTGGCCTGGCCCCCTTGCTGGCCCCTCGCGGCACAAGGACAGTGTGAGCGACATCCTCGCCTGGCCTTTCCTGGTAAAAGGACAGCGTTGGCGACATCCTCGCCTTGAACCCCCCTTGCACGTGGCCTCGCCGCGGCGCGGAAGTGCGCCGGATCAGCAGCGGCGCACTTCCGATCTGCTCGTTAAATTTGAAGACGATGGCTTACCTTTGGAGGAGTGAGAGGAAAGGGGAGGGGGGGGGTCACACTACACCGCTTATCCAGGGAAATATCGCGCTCTCTCCGCCTCCCGCTCCCGCCCCACCCCCCCTCTCTCCTCACCCGGTCACAACACTGTCATCAGGCGCGCTGAAGGGCGCTAACGGCACTTGGCCAAAAGTGGCGGGTAAGGGAGCGGGAGGGAAGGGAGGGGGACGGAGGGGGGAGTACATCGGCTCGAGATGGGCGCCGCTCCTTTATAGCGACACCGAACGACAATAAGCGCCCCGCCCTCCTGAGTGCAGCGAGCGGCGAGGAAGGGTCGTCTGCGTGCAAACTGTAGTTAAGACTGTAGAGATTTGGGAATTGAAGTTCAAAGCTAGATAAACTGAAGTTGATCAGCAGTTTTTGTTACTTTTTGTTGTCTTCGTCCCCAAATTTCTGCACTCAAACTGTAGTTTAACTCCATAAAACTATAGTAAACCTGTAGCTAAACTACGGTTTTAGCCATAGATAGTACTGATCCTTCCACGCGTGAGGAACGCCGTACCGTGAGCGTGGTTTTGCCTACTTCCATCCGTGAGGCGCCATATGGTTCCTTAGGTGGGTAAATAACCCGCAAGACTGTTGTGTCTTGGGCGACGGAGGAGACCACCGCACCGGTGATCCGGGCCCGGTGACGTGCAGCAAAGCGTGCGGCTCGGCAACGAGCGCTGCTGTGCGCCGTGCTCCGAGCAAGTCGAAGTGTGTGTGTGTCCGTCCGTCCGGGAGAGTCAGTGGAGCAGGGTGAGGGTGAAATCCGCTTAGGCCCGGCCGCAGCGCCGCCGCGCCGCCTCGAAGGAGGAAAAGGGGTGAATAAATGGACGGGACCGTCACGCGCGTGACGCGGCGCCGCGCGGCTGACTTGCACGCCAGCGCCCCCACCAGCGCCCCGCACCCCGCCACCGAGAATTTACATATTTTGTGGCAAGAATTTATATATTTATGTGAAACGATGACAGGAGCGATGGGGTGCAGTAAAAGCAGCGGTCGGGGAGAGACGGAGGGGCACGAGTGAGAGAAAGGGTGACGAGGGAGGGACAGAAAGAGAAAGAGAGATATACAAAAAGAGAGACAGAGAGAGATACAGAGAACGAGAGCCGCCGCCGTAAGGGTTGTGGTCGTGTGGGCGACACGAGTGCTACGGAACGAAATGAAACACTTTGGCGAGCAGGGTGGCTCTGGGGGGAATAAACCTCCTCGGCTGCCGCTCCCCGCTGTGGCGCCCGTGGCCCGCCCCGGGGTACCCGACCCGACCCGGCCCAGCCCGCACCACCCCGCCCCGCAGCGCGCCGTGCACCGGCCAAGTTGAAGTGGGTGAATGCCAGGTGACCACGAACAAACTAGCGAGGCCATAACAAGTCGACAAACTTCACTCCTCCGGCACAACACCGAGCGCCACGGCGCGCCGCGGAGAAGGAATGGGGGTCGGGCATTTCATACG